TCTCTCTCTCTCTCTCTGTCTCTCTCTGTCTCTCTCTGTCTCTCTCTGTCTCTCTCTGTCTCTCTGTCTCTCTGTCTCTGTCTCTCTGTCTGTCTCTGTCTCTGTCTCTGTCTCTGTCTCTGTCTCTCTCTCTCTCTCTCTCTGCTGCAACCTCTCCGTGCCTCCTTAAGACTAGTTTGCTGCGTCCTGTCTCCAGTCCAGTGGAGATTAATGGTCCATCTCTGGAGCTGCTGGCTTAGCTCCATAGCAGAGGACCTAGGCCTCTTGTGTGGCCACAGGATTCTGGATGATTGTGAAAGGGTGTCATTGGTGAGTTTGGCCATCGCTCACCCTTCTCTCACCTTCCAGGTGTGAACCTCCCTGAATGGTGGAACTTACACTTGTAGAACTGGAAGGAACCTCCAAGCCCCATCTAGACCAGTGCTTCGCGAAACAACTTTGGGAAACACATGAACTGGCCGCCCCGGTTTATTAATTTACTGGCGCTGCGGGCAAAGAGCCTCGCGGCTCCCATTGGTGCCATTTCATCCTTTGCAGCCGAGGGGAGCGGTGTGAGCCAGCCCACGCTATTTCCTGTGGCTCTGCTTGGCTACAAAGAGCAAAATGGAGCCAATGGGACCTACAAGGCTCCTTGGCCGCGGTGCCAGTAGAAAAACCAGGGCAGCCAGTTACTGTGTTTCTCAAAGTGCTTTCAGAAACACTAATCTAGACCATCCCTGACAGGTGTCTGTCTAAACTGCTCTTAAACATCTCCAATGATGGAACTCCCTGACAGTGAGGAAGCTTTTCCTGATGTCCAGCCTAAACCTCCCTTGCTGCTATTTAAGCCCATTGCTGCTTGTCCTGTCATCAGAGGCCAAGGAGAAAAAGTTTTCTTCCTCCTCCTTGTAACACCCTTTTAGGTACAGTTATTCCTCATTTAACACTATTGATATGTTTCAGAAAATGATCATTTTAAGTGAAAACGTCTTATGCAGGATCAATTTTCCCATTGAAAATAATGGAAAAGGTGGGGCTTGCATTTCAAGCGGTGGTGTCCATTGGGACCGGGACATAAGGTTGGGGGAGAAAGGGGACTGGGTTACTGCAGGGACGGGAGGTATCTGGCTCTGGGGAAGGAGAGGTGAGGGGGATTAGGTTGGGAGTATGCCCCTGAGATGGGTCTGCTGGGACCTGCACTACATCCGGCAACGAGGGGGGGGTCGCTGGGGAACGGCACAGTGAGTGGAGAACCCTCCGCCGCTTTTCAGGGAGGCAGGGGAAGCCCTGCACAGCCACCGGCAATGGGCCGGCTGGGGAAATCGTGTTATTCTGGGGACGGTCGTGTAATTCCAAAAACATTCCCTAAAAAAAAAATCGTGCTATCGCGAAAACGTGTTAAGCGGGCACGTGTTAAATGAGGAATTACTGTACTTGAAAGCTGTTACCATGTCACCCCTGTCTCTTTCAGATTAAACAAACCCTGTTCTCTCAACCGTCCCTCACGGGTCATGTTTTCTAGACCTGTCCTCATTTTGGTTGCATCTCTGTTACAGGAGGCACAAGCCTACGCAGATGACAACAGCCTATTGTTCATGGAGACGTCGGCCAAGACAGCGATGAATGTTAACGATCTCTTCCTGGCGATAGGTAAGGCCTCAGGGCTGCATGGCACCAGCCCCACTGTAGCAGACGGGGTACCAGCTCCACACCACGTGGCTACAGGAGGCAGTTCCCACTTGAGCTCTGCAGAGAGGTTGATCTGTGCAGTCGCTGTGGAGGCCCAGAGCCCCATGGTCAGGCCTCCGTCCTGGCCTGCGCCAGCACCACAGGACACTGAGCTGAAAAGGCCCACAGGGCTCCCATGCCACTGAGCATGTCTCGGGGAAGGGCTGTACTGCTGACGATTCCTTAGGGAAGCCGGCAGTGATCTGGTGGCAGAGCCTGTGGACGCGGCATGTGCTTGCTGCTTGAGCTGGAGCAGCATTGGTGCAGGCAGTGGGCAAGGCTCGGAGCGAGCCAGCCAGGAAGTGCCCAGCTCACCTTTGCAGTTAGTCCTTGGACACCACCTGTGTCCTTACTTGATCGTGGAGCCTGCTGGACCCTGGGCTACTTCTCGCATCTCCAGGGCCACCTTAATTCTGACTTTTAGCACCACCGTCTTCAGTGGCTTTAAATCCAGCTCTGA